CCAGATTGTTCAAGATGTTGGCACACTGTGTGGAGGGCTGTGTTGATGGCATCACTTGTGGACCTGTTGGCTCTGTATGCGAATTGGTGCTGATCAAGGCTGGGAGGCAGTAAGGATTTTATGTGCCTCAGCACCAGTCTGTCAAAGCACTTCATCACAGTTGAAGTGAGAGCCACAGGTCTGTAATCATTCAGACTGCTGACCGACTGACTCTTGGGGATGGGCACGATCATGGCATCAGTTGGTTATTAACATTATAACAAAGTCATCCATCCAGGATGTTTTACCTGCAAACCATAAAATCTTCACACACAATTATTCAGATGTAAAATATCACTTAGTTAAAATTGTTAAAGACCATTAAATGTGTTTTGAGTTGCACCATATGAATAGATGTGTGTCACTTAATGACTTTTTTTGTTTTGTTTTTCTGTGGTCACCTGAACAAGTTTGATGTGGAAAACTGCCTGTATTACACATACACTGAGATATACGTTCAGGTATTTGTCTGGCACTTTATTCTATGAAATTAAAAATAGTTGTATTTTCATAGAGTCTAGGTTGTTAGCAGAAATGTTGTTTTAAAAGTTTTCAACCAGGTAATTAAACTTTTTATTTATTTGTTTATTTTTTGGAAAACTTTTCAGACACATTCGTATTCTAAGAAGAGTATTCTTAACTTCCTGTCAATGTGTTAAAGGGAGTTAATTTATTTTTTAGGATAAAAACCTTCCTTTCTTTGTTTCCATCAAAGCAGTTGTCCAGTCTCAGGGCAAACATGTACTGCTGAGCCATCAGGGCCTCCAAGTTCATCCTATTCATCAGGTGCACCATCTTGTTCTTTTCTTTCTGTGCTGTTTATTTTGCAGAGGTACAGAAACCAACTCCTAAATCAGGTAACTGATGAAACAATTCTGTCACTTTTACAGTTCAGTTTACAACAAAATGTATTATATTATGTATGTTTAATGCAAAAGGGGCAATATGGCATTCTAACTACATCCATTTTCAACACACACTCAGCTGCCAGTTTATTAAGTACCAACAGTTCACTGAACTTTGGGATTTAGCATCACAGGCTGCTGTGTTGGACTACATTGCATATTGCCAGGTGAACTTAACAAACAACCTGAGTGCAGTTTTTGTTATCTCAGATGAAGCTGTGCCAAAAATCACACTGTCAATGGTTTAAAAAAAAACAAAAAACAAACAAACCCCTAAAAAACACCTAAGTCAAAACTTGGCAACAAGCAACAAGAGCACACATGGTTTCTTTCCACCCCTTCCGATTATTATAGTAAGATCATAGCAGATGAAGCTCTCCACATGGCAACAGGGTCACTGCAACTCACAGCTGGGTCCTGAAAACACCTCATATAAGACTATTCTCAGGCTGTTATTGATTTTCCATTAAGCTGTGTTTAATATGCTTGTGAGCAATTAGACTCAAATGAAAGATGATGACACATCCCCCACATCTTTCTGAATGAGTCAGTGCTCAGTGGGTCAACTGTAAGACTCAAAAGAGAAACTGAAATTCCCTGACTGTCTCACATGCCTTCAGGGTCTGAAGCAAATGTATTTATAAATGCTTTTGTGGCATATTTGACCTTATAATACAAGTAAATACAGATAGAAAAGGAGACATATATTAAAAATCTGAGGTTGTTCTTAAGTCAGTTACTGTATGTTGTTCATCATGAGGTTTATTCTATTTTGTAACAATAAACAGAAGATAGTTGGTCTGTCATAATTTAATTTGATTTAATATTAGTTTTGTTTCTATGTGTTTGAAGATGTTGTACACCAGTATGGGAGCTTCCTTCTTTTAGCATTTTAACCACACAATAATCTTATAGATGTTCTATTCCTTATCATATCTGATTACTGAAATGTCAATCATTCTGCCAATCATTATGAAGTGTTTTTAGCCTGCGGCTGCATTAGAGCCACCAGTGAGTCATTCTAATCAATTATTTGCCCAATTACCCCTTTTACACTGGTTAATTAGGTAATGAAGAAAGTCAGTTAAGGTTAAACAATCATGATTATCTCAAATCATAGTGTGTGTCAGTGGAGGATGACACTAAATATGGAAGCGTAAACGCTGAGCAGCTCATAAATGAAGCCCTCTGCTGGACAAGAGTGAGGACGACAGAAAAATGTGTCCAAGAGAGATTATCCTTAAAGCAAGTGAGAATCCATTAAGGGTTAGGAATACAGATAGCCATATTATTTAGTATAACAATTTCACATTTAATAGAAAAAAAAAGCCAGCAGTTTGATGTTTTTTAGTCAATAAAAAAAATCTTAAATGTCAAGCAATCTTTTTTTAAATGCAACTATTTCAGGACAACTTTATGTCGCAACATTTCTATGCATATTTGCCATTTCTAGACTCTCAGCCTTTTTGTCATGACTACTAAATATGAAGCTTTGTTAAATCTCAGAAACTGAAGACCAGAAAAGGTTTAAATCTCTTGTATTTCAAAATAAATAGGAGAAAAATCAGGAAATTACTTTAAATGTCTTTCTCTTGACATTGGTTTCTTTTAGTACCTTCTGGAGGTTCTACCCCCTTTAGACATTTTTACATCCACTGACCAGCTGTGACATAATGGATATTTGTACCCAAATTGGAGGACACACATGGTTAGAATTTAACTTAAAAAGTTATAAAGACAACCCTTTGACATTATGTCATTGCATTTAAAAAGCATGAAAAGAAAATCTGTGTTACATGATGTTATGTAGGGCTGCACACGGTTGTTACCACCGTTGCCTCACAGCTAGAAGATTCCTGGTTCGCATCCTGGTTAGGACGCCTGGGATCTCTCTGCCTTCGCCCTGAGTCAACTGGGATAGGCTCACTATTCACCAGTAAACCACCAGTACAATGGTCGCATTGCTGCTGACGCTATCAGTCCATCTGTTGATTCTTAACTTGACTCTTAACTTTGTGCCAGGAATATGAACACGGCACTCAGTTTGGTTGTACAAGGACTGGACAGCTTGTAAAAATGGTCTTGATACACATACCCCACACGATTACAGGCCTTCTCCAAGTTCACAAAACACATGTGGACTTGATAGTCAAACTCCCATGATCCCCTCAACAATCCCACAAGGGTAAAGAGCTGGACCACTGTTCCTCAATCTGAAGTTCGACAATCAGTTTGAGCCTCCTTTCCTGCACTCAACATTAAACTTTCCTAGGAAGGCTGAGCAGTGTGATACTCTGATCACTGAAAATGGGAACCAATACCCTGGTCTGCCACTCCACACTGTTTCGGATCTCCATGTGACACTGAAGAGAGGTGTCAGCTGAGACAGTGTTTAGAGCTTTCAGCGTCTCAAGGTAAATCTCATCCACACCTGGCGTCTTACCAGTAAGGAACCTCTTGCTACCTCAGTCAACTCTGTCAAGGATATGGGTGAGGCTTCCTCTGAGTCTTCAGGCTCTGGCTCCTCTACAAAGATGTGTTGCCTGGGTTTAACAGCTTCACAAAGTGTTCTTTCCACTGCCCACTAAAATCCCCAGTCCTGGTTAGATGTTTACAATCATCAGTTAATCTGAGCATATCTTTTGACTTTAGGAGGAAACTTCCTCTGGGATGCATGAGAAATTCTTCCAAAGGTGGAATTGAAGACCTCATGGACATGGCTTTCAACCAGACATTCCTGGTTCACCGTCATTACATGGTCTGTCAAGCAGCCTTTTCCACCATCTCATTCAACTCACCACCAGGTGGTGATCAGTTGGCAGTTCTGCTCCTTTCCTTTACCCAAGTGTCCCAGATATATAATGCTGTGCTGTGCATTGAGGTGAGCCCAACTATTTCTAGCTGGTACCAGTCCACCTCCCACACCAGCTCTAGTTCCTTCCCCATCAGAAAGGTGATGTTCCATGTCAATAGAACTACTCTGAAATTCCAGGAGTCAGTACACCTCGAGCCCATATTTGCCTGCTTCCTGGCTTAGAGTGCAACTGATCCTAGTCATACTCACGGGATGTAGGCTGTGGATATATGCCAGCCATTGGCTGCACATTTCACAAGGCTTTCTCCTCCCCATGTGCTGTCAATTGTTTGCCATTTTCAAAGTCCACTTTAGTATAGGAAAAAAAACTCCAGGCTAGCAAACTACCACAATGAAAATGTATAGTTTTGCCATTGTGCAGTAAGGCAGCCCTCCCCAGCCACAGCTCTTGCCTCCCTGCATGTATATGTTCCACCAAAACATTTCCCCTGTGACTATATCAAAGTAACACCAAAGCCACATCCTTTGCTTCGCTCTGCCAAATATGATTGTAATTGATTTATAGAAATAAAAACAAGCCACAGCATTTTTTGCAGAATGATGATGAAATACAGCGAGACTATTGTGTTCTACAGAGTGGGCTGGCTAAGGGACTAACCTGACCCCAACACCTATGCCTTCAGCTGGTGGGCCCACTGGGTCATGTTGCTTCATTTTTCATTAATTGTGGTCTGTTGCTGATGACTGTCCCTTGATCATTAATACTGTTGTTGTCAGTGAGCTGACACCTGTTGCTTAATGCCATCCCTTTGAAATATGCAGTAGAGCTGCAACAATTAGCCAGTTAATTGTTTAGTTCATGAAGGAAAAAATAATTAGCAATGCTAATGTCAGCAATTTATTTTTGTATGTCAAACATAAATTTTACATACAAAACAAAACACTGATTCATTGAGATCAATGGATTATTTCAGCCCAATTAGTTATTGTACCAGAGATGTGGAGATGATAAACAAAGAAGTAAAGAAAAAAAAATACACAGTTCGTGCTTGTTTGTCTTCCTCCATAGAATACAGTTTTATAAGGTAAAGACCATTTGTTGTCTGTTTTTCTTTCACATGAGTTATTACATTTCTCCATCGGGGGTCACTGTGGCCTTTAATGGCTTTCTGGCGATAGCGGCGCAGAAACGTCGCACTCTCTGATTGGCTGTTGCTGGCTGGGGTCAAACAATATTGCGCATGCTCAGATGCCCTTTTACGGTTCGCGACTGAAATCTGTCAGCTCAGCGGAGCGTAGATTCCCCTAATACCTTCAAATATTTCTCTGTATTTCCTTCCTCTGGTCAGCGCTGGAGATTTAAATCTAACCTCAGGTGTCGTCTGATTTGGATTCCTACTTTTCGACGTCTGTAGCCGAAGGAAACAGCAAAGAATGACGAGCAGTTCAAAGCGGAAAGAAGAAAGTCATCTGCTGAATGGGGGTGTAAAACAGTCCACATGGAGCAAAGCCCTCAGCAGTAATGCTGTTTGGGAAGAGAAGGTCAGTCAGTTGCCCCTTTTCGGCACATCACTTGTGGTTTGCAATTATTTGTTGCCTCAAAGCAATTGAATGCATGTAATATTCTGAAAGGTGTTCATAAAGACGGCTATCAGGAGCTAGCTGCCATGCTAAGGATTAATCAGGACTGGCTGATTTAGCTAACTGTCAAATGAAAAGGAGCAGCGATAGTTGGTGATTTGACCTTTGTTCAAAACGACAAGGACGCTTTAAATATTTTTTGGGATTCCCTACTCACTGAATTGAAGGAATGAAGTCATAGTGTGGTTCAACAAATAGTTAAAACCCCAAAGATTTCCGATCTATATTTCTGTAAAACAGAGAAAAACAGCAGTAAGTCCCATTTGTGATGCTGGTGGGTTGATCCAGTAGAATGAAGCAATCAATCAACAGTTTGTACTTTCCCCTTGCAAGAATGGTAACGCTGGAAGTATTTGTAATACCTCAACTTAACCCCATGTTCAGGCAAATGAACCTCAACCACAGAAGTTGATGGACAGCCAGTCAGATGTGTTTTTCTGTTGAAAGGAGTAGAACTGGACTGGTCCTGGTTACCTGCGTCAGGGCTAGATGTGGCCAGGCTTTCCCATCACACACATACACATGGCTACAATACACTTCCTACATGGGAAACATCAGAAAAAGAACATGCAATCCAATAGTTTGTTTGCACCAAGTTAAGCGTTTCAGTTGTGGTGTCAATATTGACATTAACACCATTTTAATCAAGTCATTCTTTGAATCAAATTTTCACGTTTTCTTTCACAGGATGAATTTTTAGATGTGATTTACTGGCTTCGACAAATTATTGCAGTTATCCTTGGCGTGATATGGGGTGTTGCGCCGTTGAAAGGATTTCTGGGAATAGCCATGTAAGTAGCCCCTACCACTTACCTACCTTTGTCAGCGGGTCTCTTCGTGTCAGATTGTTCTCAAGAAAAATCAAAAAAGTTAACATGCTCCCATGTTTGCTCCACCAGATTCTGCATCATCAATGCTGGCGTCCTGTATGTATACTTCAGCAGCTTTCAGCAGATCGATGAGGAAGAGTATGGAGGCACGTGGGAGCTCACCAAAGAAGGCTTCATGACGTCTTTCGCCCTGTTTCTGGTGGGGATGCTAATATTTTTGGCAACATATATATTTTTTGTGAAGTATATGAGAATTATTAGAAATAAAGGTTCTATATCTCTGTATTCTCAAGATCTAGTGTATAGTCTCTCTGAATAGGATTTTGATAGTTGCAGTCTGAGTTAAATGTAAGGGACTGCTTAAAGCTTAGACTTCTAGTTAAATCCTTTTATTTTCATAATGCTGTCTTGGAAATTAATTAATTCTTGAGACAGGGAATATTATCTTTAAAGTACTGATTGCAAATTCAAATCACAGGTTGAACACTATCATCTTGTGTAATATCTGGGCTTTTTAGAATCTTTATAAGATTTCCTAATTTAAAGCTTTTCACACATGCAACTGAAAACTGAATTTGCTAAAAATGTAATACTTTGTGAGTCACTGTAGAGAAGTACATCATGTGTGAACACCCATTGAAAGTAGACAGTAAAACCTCTGAAGGGCCCTTTTGTGCAATAATGTACTCCTCAAGATGAAATATGACAGTTACGTATAAAAAGTGGTAAAAAATCTTACATCAACAAGTCCAAACGGTGTCTGATTCAGAGCTTTTGGAAGTAAATTTAAATTCCACATGAAATTGTGCAGAATATCCTGACCAGCTGGCATGACGCTACTGACTAAGAACATAAAATATTTACCTCAAACTCACTTTGCAGAAGTGACATTCCATGTTGATTCTTCCCACAGTTATTCCACACGCGATTCTCATGAGATTTTAGTTTTTCTATTTGCAGCACTATTGACCAGGCTGTCATTTTACTATCTGTCGTGCATATAACCTGTGGCGAGCTATTTTCCTGTTTTAATATCTGAGTTTGACTATCCAGATTTAAAGTTACGACTATCAACAATGTCATTTGACTGACTGCGTACTTAAACTAACAAGCCAGATTTTTTTAATCAAGAAATCCATAATGTCATTCTAAATAGTCAGAATGACAAATGTAATTCTTTAACTCAGGTTTCCCATCAAATATTGGTCCAGTGACGCGTTTGAACAGAGTTAGCTGAGCAGTGTTGCTGTGGTGGATAAAAATAATACTAATAATAATTGATCAAATTTGTATAGCACTTTTCTAGACACTCAAAGTCGCTTTACACTATCAATTATTCATTCACACACATTCATTCTGGTGGTGGTAGCTATAACCACAGCTGTCCTGGGGCAGACTGACAGAGGCCTGGCTGCCATTCTGTGCCTACGGCCCTTCTGACCACCACCTCAAACAATCCATTCATACGCATTCACACCAGGCAAGGTGGGTGAAGGGGTGAAGTGTCTTGCCCAAGGACACAATGACCGTGACACAGGTTACAGGGTGGAACCAACGACTTTCCGATCATTGACCGACTCGCTGTACCACCTGAGCCACAGCCGCCCCTACGATAAGATCATTGCAAAATGGCAGGAAATGGGAAGAGTTTATTAGCAAGGAAGTTGTGCAGATTGAGAATGTCATTCATTAGAAACTTGGGGTCAAAATTTACTAGAAAATTGGCCTCAGGCTGCTCTGACATCGCGGTAAAATAGCTTTTATATGCGGCTACGATTGCAGTGTCATAAGTTTCACTGCCTCCCACTTGCTGAGCTTTTGACGAAACTGTAGATATCTACTATGCCATTTAGCTCAGTCAAAAATATCCATAATTATGTTTTGTCTAGGCAGACTACCAGGTCAAGATATGTACGACGTCATCCTGACGAGTTAAGTTTGAACAAGTTTTTGTATTAAAGTGAGGAGAATTAAAGATATCTCTTTTTTTTCCTGAACTTTTTATTTACAATTTTTCACAATACAAAACAGAACAGTATCTGAGACAAGATAGGTGATTAGAAGAAAACAGATTAATAACAATAATACAAATGCTGTGTACATAAATATTGCAGATGATACCAATGTACATAATCATGAACGTTTTTCAATAGTAAAGATAATATGTATTAACTCCACTAATTTGGAATCAATTTCGACAACCCATATAGTTTACATATCCAGGTACTCTTTAACCGTGTGCCATCTCTGGTTAAATAGGTCTATTTTCATTTGTTGAATTGAAGATATCTTGAACTAGATTTATGACTAGTCAAAAATATTTGCAGCAGGTATTTTCAGATATCTGTAACACATGAATGGTAAAAGTGCCAGCGTTTGTAGTAGGAAATGTATTTATTTTTGACATGAAAGGACTAAATTGTAGACTTATGTTGTGCATATCCAGTCCAGCTATTAAATGTTTAAACAGCTTGCCAAATCTAATGATTTTGTGCAATCTGACACATTATGTGGCAAAGTCTTTAATAAACACAGTAGGTTGATATTAATCATGCTTGTATACAGGCATGATTCATATTGAACAATATCAGGAGCTGTAAGATTTCTTTTTTGTTTTTTTAAGGCTGGCTTATCAGTCAGTTTGAAATGACTCAGTCGGCTATTTGTAACGATTATATTATGAGCACTAGTGTCTAATCAGTTGTTGTTTTCTCTTTGCCAGGTGGTGTGGATAATCTTTTACACAGCTCTACATTTTGACTGAGAGGACTCCACAGGACACTAAATACGAACATTTCTGTTGAAGTAAATTGTCAAGACACAAGAACTCCATGGTTTTTGGGGGGTGGTGTCAGCGCTCCTACATACAGTATGACTTCTCAGTGTGCAGTGCATCATGGGAATCCTAGTTCGAAAAACAAGATCCAGCAAGAACACAGTTTTGATGTTCAAATATTGAACATCTGCCTAGTTCGAGGATTCCTCTTTAAGGCACCTTCCATTACACTTCCCATGCGTTAGATTTCCTTCCTCACTTCATATTCATCATTTCTGACAAAACACTAAAAATACAGAAAGCGAATAGTTTGGCTGACACCGGTTGCAGTTCTGTTGACATTAGAACAGTAACTTGATGTAAAACAGAAGAAGGATTCTGTCTCTTGGTCAGCTTACTTTCTTCAGTTTTAGAAGAGTGACGGACAGATTTAAGACCATAAAGAATAACAAGCAGTATGGACAGTCATCCCATATTTTTTTTCGCTTATGAGCTGGTCACGCAAGTTACAGGAACAGGGCAATAAAAACAGTGTCATCATCTGTTCGTTAGGGTTCAATCAGTCCACGAATGTGAAATGCCACCTTTTAATTTCGTGACAAAATACGCCATATTGGATGTACAGACCTACTGGTAAGGGATTAATATTGTGGCTTCACTGTTAAATCACCCTTTCATTGCTAAATTACATTTGTGTTTTTTGATAAATAAGAGAAATATGTAGGTTACAGTATGTATGCGCCTAAGGTTTTAAGGTTGGAGTTGTTTGTCTTCATGGAAAATTAAAATGTGATTCAGAGCTTCATTTCTTTTGGATTTTGTTGCCAAGATATACACCATACAACAGAAGTGATTATACCTTGGTGCATGATTGCTTAAATATCAGTTGATTCTAAATTTAAAAAGTGTATCACCCTAAGGTCATTGCAGTACTTTTAAGTTTAACAGTATGGTATTCGCTCTTATATAAAAAACAAAAAAGAACAGTTTAGAGTTGCTATATTAAAAATACAGGCCCCACAGTAGAAACTCAATGCAAGAAAAGTCAGTTCACACTCAAATCTTTTATTTTTTTCAATACTTCATGTGTCCACCAGTATTTGTCAGACTCAACCTTTGGCACGGAGGACACCAGTGTAGCAGAAATTTCTGGAGAGATGTTCGGCCATTGCAAGATGCACTGTTGCCTCGCAGCAAGAAGGTCACCGGTTCGCGTCCTGGTGAGGACACGCGGTGGAGTTTGCATGTTCTCCCCGTGCAGCGTGGGTTCTCTCCAGGTTCTCCAGCTTCCTCCCACACAGTCCAAAAACATGTTGAGGTTAATTGGTGATTGTAAATTGTCCATAGGTGTGAATGTGAGTGTGCTTGGTTGTCTGTAAGTGTGGCCCTGTGATAGACTGGTGACCTGTCCAGGGTGTCCCCTGCCTTCACCCTGAGTCAGCTGGGATAGACTCCAGCCCCTCGCGACCCTAATGAGGATTAAGCGGTGTATAGATAATGGATGGATGGATGTATGTTCTGCCGTTCTTCAGTCTGTTTGTTTTTTAGGCCACTCTTTGTCTCAAAATCCACCCAAAGGTGTTCTGTTGGATTCCAGTCAGGCAACATCCTTTTTTTTTTTTTTTTTTACATCAGAACTAAACAAATTAATCTCTGTCTCATTTGACTAAAAAAAAATAGCAAAAGTTGTTTTTTTTAATTTTTACTTTTTGGAAGCTTAACTTTGAGATTGATCACATGCTGACTCACTTTTGCTGCATTGAGTATTTTTTACTTTGGGGAGGCCTGTATTTTCACCACAGTCTCTTTGTTTTTGATTGTTAATAAGAGGAGAACTCTTGCTGTCTGCTTAGAAATAATTCAGTTATTCAAAGGTGTTACAGTTTTGAGTCATTGAACATTGCAACTCGGGTAAACTCACTTCTGTTGTATTCTTGCAGATGGATATAAAAATAGCATTTTGGAATTTAATCTGTCAGTTGTTTTTATTTCTATAACGGTCTGGTGTCTAATCAAATTGTAGCTAACCACAGCAGAAATCTAACTTTTAACATCAGAAACAAATGCTGGTTGTAAGATGCACATATCGACTAATATCCAGTCCCGATGCCAGTAGTTTCACTGCTCCGTTACTTCATTCCTGAACTCATAATTATCAAAGATGTCTCTCCTTACAAATTGATTCCTCAGAGCAAAGAGGTTGGAGACATCCATGTTTTGTTCATATGCAAATGTTCACAGATTAAAGTGAAACCTGATCTGTGCACCGCCATGATTTGCTTTTAGTATATCTAGATGTCATTTATATATGGCATTAGCTGAGAAAGTAAAAATAATTTAAAATGTAATATTTTCCTCACACGTAGCTTCCAGATCAAAGTCTTATCTGTTGTTTGAAAATTAATTTAAACTCGTCTGTAAATTCTGTACAATGTCCCTTTTGTCCAATCCGTCATGTATTACACAGATTTATTTGTATTTATGTTATATCTTGTTCGATGTAACACATTTCTCAGTATTTTATAGTGAAGAACTTTTAAACAGTTATTGCAATGATACTGTTATATTAGATATGCAGCTGGTGTTTGAAAGGATTGTATTTTCTGATCAAATCTTTTGGGAATCATTAAACATGGGCTTTATTTGGCCACCATTTTCAAAGAAATGTTATCTGTTCTTTATTGAAATGTTAAAAAAAAAAGAAGGTGTTATTGTTTGTCAGATGATTTAGGTGTTTGTCTTTGCACTGGAATTGTAGTATAATGCAATTAAGTGGTTAAATCCACTTATCAGTTAATCTACAGTTCAGTATAAAATGTCAGAAATTGGTGAAAAATGTCCAAAGATGCATCTTCAGTTGCTTTCCCCCCCTTGACTAACAATCTCCAATGCCAAAATGTTATTTTTGGTGATATAAGAAGCAGACAATCCTAACATTTGACTGGGCTGCATGGAGTTTTATAGAGAGGTTATAAACAGAGGAAAGATTAGATTAAAAACACAGACATGGATGAGAAGATATAAGTTAGTGAATAAAAGAATAGACGAGCTAGATAAAAGCATACAGAAATTGCTCCAATAACAAATACAAGACAAGAAAACCCAAAATGATGTCAGGCATTTCTTCATGATGATGGTATTCAAGAGGGGAAGGTGTTTGCATGAGTTTTAAAAATATATATATATCAAGGGAAGGTTTACAGGGTGGTAAACTGTTCCTCAATTTAGGGCCGCCGACAACCGAGAATGCTCGATCACCTTTGGTTGTTAAGTAGCTGCGTGGGATGGAGAGCTGAACTGTCTGGAGGTGGAGAGAAGACGTATAACATGGTGTCAGTTCATGCAGTGTTTTTAAAACAAAAGAGTCTTTAAAATCAATTGTGCATGTCTGTGTTAGGCAGTGAAGAGTGGGCAGGACAGGGGAGATGTGGTCTCTCCTGCTGGTGCCAGCGAGGAGTCTCATTGCAGCATTTTGAAGCAGCTGCAGGCGAGATATGGCTGACTGAATCATTCCTACACGGAGAGTTAAAATAGTTGAGGCAAGAGAAAATAAAAGCATGAACTGCAGTCTCCTAAATCTTTAACGAACAGGAATGATTTTAATTTTCCAAGTGCTCGAAGAAGTAAGAAGCCAGAGCTGACAACTGAGTGCGTTTGTTTATCACATTTTAAACAGTAGTGGAAGAAGAAATCCGACCTTTAACTTAACAGTGTAACTGATCAGGCCGTAAAAAGAAATGCAAAGGCTCTATTTGTAATTTCACTCAAGTGGAAGTATAGAAAAATGTATTATTATTTATCAAAGTCTTTGATTAAATCCCTACAAACTCATCTCGGTGTATCAAACTTACATATTTGGAAGTTCTTTTCATAATATGACACCTTCATGCTACTAAATGTTTTAGATGTAAGTCTGCACCGTAGCTTCCTCCAGACTGTGCAGATTGATGAAGTCCCTGCCCTTTAATGCAGGGCTACATCACGTCATCCCTTCAAGCAGTAATGTATCTGTCTACTGCTAAGAAGCAAACGAAACAAGCAAAGTTGCGTCACATCATTCAGGGACTGTGGACACTTGTTCTCCATTTTGCCGTCTGTGCACTGCTCCATGCCTCATTGGCATCACTGCTGTACGACACAGTGTGCAGCAAACAAACTGTTCTTGTCTTCTTGCTAAAAATAGGTTCTTGCTCTACACTATCACCAAAATGCCTGCTTATAGGGAATCTTTGGATGTATTGGGTCTTCCATTTATAATTTTATAGGGTCTTAACTTGATTGTTTAACCCTCCTGTTATGTTTGTTTCTCAGGAACAGCAATAATGTTCGTGGGTCAGTTTAACCTGGGGCATGTTTGATTATCCAAAAGTGTCAGAAACTAAAAAAAATCCCAATAAACATTGTTTATATTTCATTATTAACTCCATTACTAACCATTCGATCAATATTTAGTGCAATAGTGTTCTTTATCTTTCACAGATCATGCTTCAGTGAGGTTCATTTTCATTTAAGGTTTTCTTTTTATAGAGTGATATTGATAAATCAACGCCTCTTTGGTTTGGGGTCAACCTGCGGACAAAATTAAAATCAAGACAAATGAGTAATTAGGATTTGAATAGAAAAAGTCTTGAGATATTGTGGCACAAAATATAGCCCTGCCTGTCTCTGCATCCCACAAACTGGCTGTTGACTCATCTTTTGACTTATAGACCCCAGCCAGGATGAGGACCCCCAAATATGAATGTAAATAAATTTCATCCAGCTCTGTCCCCTAAAACACACCTTCCTTCTGGATTAGTCATTTAGAGAATGATTTTCTGTATTGAGTTGGGCATGACCAGCTCCAAATCTGACTTGATGTCTGTCACACGAGTCACTGCCATCCTACTGGGCCCTGGTGGGCACTGTCTTTATGATGTTTTCTGCAGACAGTTTCGCCTGATGTGTATTTGTGGATGAAGACCACTGCATTTCACCATTCTTTGCTTGGAGGAATATAAATAGCAGGTTCCTCATTTGGTTCATAATCAGAATCATCAGACTCATAACTGACCTTAAGATGATCGTCACCGTCGGGCACATCCTCCTCTATTTCACCTTCATGGTCAAAGATGAGTTCCAGAGCCTCCAGGGCTGTCATCTGTTCACTTCTGCTGCTCACTTTGTAAAGCTCTGACAGAGTAATGTTGGTAGGACTGTGCTGCAGAGAATCTTTATTTGTTTTGCCTCTCCCCTGCTGAGTGTCCACTCAGTGTGGGTGGAGCTCATCCACGGAAAAAAGGCTCTCATCAAAAGTAGGTAAGTAAAGTAAGTAACCTTGTCTTTAACCCTCCTATTACCTTCACATTTACTGACATCTTTCATCCTTAGGTTCAATTGGACTCCAACAATTTAAACCTCCAGAAAATATCCTAATTAAATTGTTACCCAAGTTTAGGTGTAAATAGCCCTTTAAATAAAATTGAAAAAAAAAATGTAAATGACTTATTTAGACAGTTAAACATTGAATGGAGTCAAATTGACTCCAAAGATAATAGGAGGAAAAATAAGTTTATTTCACACAGAGAAATCAATTCATTTGCAGGCAGTTCTTAAGATAAGATAAGATAAGATATGCCTTTATTTATCTCACAGTGGAGAAATTCACGTTGTTGGTAGCAGCATTAAACAGAGATACACATATACGAGAGAATAAAATAAAAAATGTACATATAAATATAAGAAATAGTGCAAACAAAGAGAATAGTGCAAACAGAATATGAAAATGGGCTTCTGAATGGGGGGTATAGAAAAGATATATATATA